TTTACGTTCCTAAAATGTCTAATTTGTCGTGAAGTCGCGACAAATAAATAAGATTTTTGGCTGTTCCGTTTCTCGCACTCAAACAATCCTAGAGAGTTGTTACGTTGCGGTGAAACATTTTTCTCTTTCTTTCTCGTTCTCGTTTAGCTACGGTAGACGGCAGCTTGTTAAACCACCAAGTATTTGCCCCAGTCTGCTCGAAAATTCCAGTGGAGAACTCAACGCCCAGAAAAACAGAATACGTTGGAATAAGTCCAGATAATAGCGTGCCATGAGATTCGACAGTCATCGGGAAAAACTGCGCCGTTACTTTTGGCGCAGAATGAAAATTCTTCCAGATTGAAGATTTAATCACAATTATACTCCGTAAAGCAATATGAAATCATTTTTAACACATCGTTATGTGCACTTATGTTTTCTTTCAGATGTTGGTAGATTATTATATTTTATTTAGACAAATTTTAAAAGTTTAATTGAGATTTATAATTTAATCGTGATTCAATTAGATATATCTACATATTTCAAAATTAAAAAGTTGTACTTTAATCAAATATATGTTGATGAGAAATTAGTTTTAAATACGTAAAAAACATTATTATTACTATATTACTGCTACAAAATATAAAAATTTAATTTTCCTGTATAATTCCGCAATCCCATACTGCAGTTAAACTAGCGACAATGTCAGAAGTTGAGATGCGGTTGTGATCGTGTGCAACTATACGATCCCATTAACCCTACAGGATCGAGCAAGCGCTTGGAGAATGGTTGACAATGAAAAGTTTCAGCGAGACGTTAAATTATGCAAGGGAATGCAGGGAAGTAATGACCGCGTGGATTAACCTCGACCTTAGATAGAGCTTTGGATAGTGGTTTTTGAAAGGGGCGAGGTTAAACGATAAGATCCAATTATCGAGAAACAGTTTATCTCGCGAACGAACGAAAGGTAAGCCGATGAGAAACTCAGAGCTCACTTTTCTCCATGAAATAGATCAGGACTTCTAAAACGTCCGATATATGCCGCAGGAGAAGAAAAGTCGATTGTTAACTCTGTTGATATACGACCGATTTAGAGAATTGCGAAACTATCGAAACGGAAATAATTATAAGATTGCTATATCGATAAAGGTAAATAGTCTGTATCTTGTAACAGTATTTCCGAAAGAAATTCAATATGGAGGATACATTTATAAACATACTATATATGATAGACATATTAGACAACTATTATTATTATTAAGATATTATATTTTCTGGTAACTGTGTGTTACAAAAATGTGTATTACAAAACAGAAGTGTATTCTATATCATGTAATACTTCTATAAAAATATAATCTATAGAATTTCTCAATTATGAAAGATTTGGTGATTAATTTTCTCATTGGTTTAAGAATCATCTTTTATTACTGCACTATACAATTATTTTTCGTGACACAACGTTATATATTATTTCGTTGTTCTTACTGTTTCTCCTTCCTAAGCTTTCGTGATACAAGGATCGATATATCTACGTATTGCCGTACATTTCGAGAATATATCGAAGTTCATCTTCGTGGATGCGGGTCTCCCATGGGATACAGGAATGCAGCTTCTATGCAGCACGGAAGTAAGCATTCCTAAGATGCTGCTCGTAATCAGGATAAGAACGCGGTTTGAACACGGGAAACTCGAAAGCCGATGCCTTACGTGACGAGACTGATAATGTACGAAGAGAACAAACGAGACCGGAAATCTCGTACGCGACGGTAGTAAAAATGGTAGCAATATAGCGAACTGAACAATATATTGGGGACAGTTTCTATCTTATACGTCAAGAAGTCACGAGGCTCGTTGCATGCACTCACTCGTCGCATATGTGCGATATTTGTCTTTGGGATATTTCTCTTGACATGCGGACATGATGTAAAACAAGGTTTTTCCCAAAGAGAATTGCGCTCTTCTTGTTTTCTACATTTCTTCGAAGTTTTATATTTTTTATTTTTCATAAATTCGTATATATGCCTCTATTTCCAATTCATGATTTTGTCTTTTTTATAATATATCTTTCTTTATATATATACATATACATATATAGAGGAACATGGTATTCCTTTGACCGGTTGTACCTTTAACCATTTGAATTTATAAAAAATCTATTGGATATTTTTAAAAGTAAAAATATGTAGTTTGTAGTACGAGTATCAGAGGTATTTTATAACTTATAATTATAATAATAAATAGAATTATACTTCTGTGAAAAATCATTTATTGTTTTCAAGTGTTCTCGAATGAAGTAATTTTAAGACGCTTTTTAATCTCATAAAATGTTGTATGTGTATTCTGTCTTATGTTGGAATTGCCTAAAATGTTAAATAGATATTCAGAAAAAATTATTTAAAATTAAAAACTGTCAATCTTAACCTATAATTTGTAAAAGTAATAACAAATAGAAAGTAAGCAAGCGTTGTACCTTTAACCAGTATTGTATATCTTCGACTACGACGTCGGATAATCATTTAGTTCAACTATCTCACCTCCAATATTAATAAAATTATGTTCATTAGACGCGATTTTAAATGAAATGAACGAAGGACACTATTTTTACCAGATTCAATCGTTTCATGCAAAAACGAAAATCGCGTCTTTGTATGGCAAAGTTTATTTTTATATATTTTATATATAAAGTTGTATATGGTGTAAAAAGACATTAAAAATATAAAAAAAATTAAATAAAAATATAAATAAAATTAAATTTTTGTTGAATATCTTATCTTTATATACACATTTTATACATTAGTTAAAAGTACAACACTCCCTGGTCAGAGGTACAATATGGGTGTTGTACCTTTGACCAAAATTCAATTTTTTTCTATTGTAAAAAAAGATGTACAAAACATAACGATTTAAATCTATAAAAAATATATGTTACTGTTAATACTTCAAAGAATATTTTAGAATTTTTTTGAATTTTTAGACATTAAAATACAACTTGCACAAGAAAAATGTTAAAATTGATCAAAGGTACACTACCTTCCCCTATAATATATATAATCCTATAATCTTAGGTACAATGCTAATTAAAGGCTATGACTAAAAAAAATAAATAAAAAATATAAAAACAGTTCGCAAGAGTTATAACTAATAATAAATAACAGTCTACGAGATTTCCATTTATAATTACGTTACATTACACTTTTATAAATTAACAATAATTAATGTTATTTAATGAAAGTATAATATAACTTAATATTCTACAAATCATAGATTCTTCAAACTAAAAATCTTTAATGTATACATTAATTACAATAACTATAATTATACACTGAAAGAAAAGATTGGCTGCTGCAGCCAATTTTTGTTTGTGTTAGCCTATCCGCAATGTCAATATAGGATTTCGATTGGCTGCTTTAACCAAAAATTGGCTGCTGCAACCAATTAAAAATGCTATGGCATATTTTACCATCTAATTTGCGGCAGCAGCCAATATTTTCTCTCAATGTACATATGTTTCTTTATAATCCCTGTTTATTAAATCTTTTTAGATTTTTAGAAAATTTTTGGACAAATTTTTACTTCTATTATATTTGATATAAAATAAATTTCGTTGACTGAGTCGATTTTATAATTTCATATACACTCTATATTTTAACATGAGAAGAGTAATTATAGCATATGTCTATATGCACGTATTAATAAACATCATTTCGTTTAAATTTCCAAAAACGTATTAAATTTTTTGAATTTACGTTGATTGGTCATTTTTTAAACTAATTCGGACGTGTATTAATCAATTTCCTATTCAATTTTCAGTAACGAATTGGTTACAACAATCTACGTTTTCATAAGAGTTGACGACTTTAATTGGTATACGAGAGCTGACAAAAGCCAACAGAGTATTCTAAAATTCAGCTTGGATTGTAGTATTAATTATAGATATACATTAAACTCTCGTGACACACATGTGAAAAAATTTTTTTTTAATATTTCAAGTTCTGTGAAAACGTTTTTATAATAAGATTTCAACAGAAATAGATTTTATAAGTTAAGAATAACAGTAATATTTACAAGTTACACAATAAAATGTTACATATATAAATTATAAGCACTTTATTAAATATCTTGGTAAACAAACGCTTTTATTGTGTTGTATAATATTTGAAAATGATGAGTAATATTGTTTATAATATTCTTTTAAACAGTTCTCTCTCTCTCTCTCTAGCTTTATCTCTTCCTTTAATATAATATAAATTTATAAGCACAAAAATTTTTCGTAATTTATTGACATTGCTCGATCATCTTTCTTTAACGGCATATTATCCGTAAAAAAAGCTTATATATTTTCAAGAAAGATTTATTACTAAATTTGTGATAGTCATGAAAATATGCACAAATAATTTACTTTGTCAACAACGTCCAATTGATTAAATAACGCACTTTGTATACCATTATTATGCAACTTGCGGACATTCTGAGCAATGAAGGTCTTTTGTCTTCACAAACCTTGTTAAATACACATGCGCTCTTCTGCAGCAATTTTTAATTGCGATATGAAACTGCATAATGAGTTACGAGGCCGCTTCTAGCGCGTTAATTCGTTTTGCGTCAGACGAATTTCAAACAAAATTCAAGCTTGTGTCCACTTTTAAAATAGAAAAGTCTTACATATTTATAATATTAACTTGCAATATTAAAAGTTTGTTTTTTGAAATGTTAAATATTTATACAAGTATATATTATATAAAAAGTGTCCTAAACTCATCTTTATTTATCTTTTATTCATTACTTTATTTGCAGTTGTTTTGACGGAGACTTTAAATCTCTTTATTAATATAAAAATGTATTATAGTATTTTGTAAATATTAAAACCTATTTAATGAGATAATCTACATTATCTGAACATATTGTTCATATTTACATTTTCATGAATATTTTTTATTTAAACATATTTGAATAAATTCAAAATACGTTTTGCATGAAAATAGTTATTTAATATGATACTAATATTAAACTTATTGTTACAGGACGAGAAGAACCAGTTGCTCATCACGAATCTCTGGTTGAAACTGGTAAGTCTTCGAAGATCTTCCGAAGTTTACGAGGGAAATAAAACTAGCCGCGATGTCTTTTCAATTGATAGCTGCCATTTACACGAACAACACGAAATTCGTGGGAGATGCTTCAGTCATTTTTTAAAGAATCTCTGTTCAAGTTAGACGAGTAGTCCTGATAGATTTGTAGTTGTTTCAAGGTGATTCAATTTACCGTGTTACACATCACCCAGTTTTACCCGACCGTTCCAAAAATATTCTCGTGGAATGGTCACGTTATGTAAATCGGGTACCAGTGTAAAAAGGCGTGAAACAAAAATATCATTATAAACTACGAGTGACATACTCTTGTTACGTACGAGATTGTATTTTACCATACACTTTGTGTTTATCAACGTTTTTATTTTGTCGTAAAATCGTTATAATATATAATTATGATGTTTTTGTTACATGAACAATTCTGCAAACAGCTCGATATCCCCCATACAAAATATTACACAATTTATTTCTCCACTGACAATATATTGTTTTATTAAGGGACAGTTGATTTTTTAATTGTGAATATTAAGAAAATAGATACTATAGATAGCGGGATTCGGTATTGAAAAAAACCTCTTAAAAAAAACCTTGATAATGTTGAGATTGTGTGTGTATAAAGACTTCAGTATCCAGTTGTTTATTCCATTGCAAGGTTGAAAATTTCATATTGCTGACGGAGGGTTAATCATTTATAATTTATTTAATCGACAGTGTAAGTGTAAGGTAATCGGATCCAATATGAGCGTGTACTCAAAACATCCTATTCACTAGTTGTAGGTAATTATACGATTAATTCAACAAACAGTAGTACTTTATGCAGGTTATTCGTTTGACTTAATTGCATCAGTTTATTGCTCAATTTGTGCATTCTATTATCGTCAATAAAACAAAATGTAGAATATAGTTGTAATGTAAATATGTATTTCGTAGGTGTGTAAGTAATTGTTTCTCTCTCTCTCTCTCTCTCCTACACTGAAAGAAAAGATTGGTTGCTGCAGCAAATTAGATGGTAAAATATGGCATAGTATTTTTAATTGGCT